TTCATACATCTTACCAATCAAACACAGGGCAAATTCAACTTTAAATGTAGCCTACAATGAGCTCTTATCATCAACTTGGCCTTCTTTCATTAATTTCTCCATTGAAAAACTGGCTCAACTTACCCCACGGCCCGTGGTTCACTTTACCCCATAGCCACCATTTTAGAAAAAATAGTCTAGCATTAAAATTCAGAGTCATCTTTAGCTTCATGATTCACATGGTTTAATACGCTGCCAACACATCAACATATACAATATGTGTTTAAACCTGGATACTTTTTTTTTGACATGACAGCCGATATAGCTGACATCTAGAAAATGTACTTTGACAAGCAAAAAACGTTTTTTTGTAAAAATGTTTACTTACCAGACCACAATGAGCATCTCTCTTTCACAGGCAATGAGAAATGGGAGGAGCTTGCATAATTTCTGGTCACATGATTACAACTATAAGGCGTTGCCTGGTTACAGGGGGTGGTTCAACTTACCCACTGGCTCAACTTACCCCTCTCTCCCCTACTAAAAATGAGTGACACAAAGCATCCCTTCCACATCGACTGATACTACGACCAATATGTTTTTTGTTCTGAACTATTTGTCTTTTTTGCGCAAACCCAATAATCTAATTCCAGCTGCGTCATCGGAACAATTTGCTTTGTTTGATTAATTAAAAAAGCATCTGTAACGATAGCTTATATATAGAAATGTTACTCATTGGGATAAACCCCTTGAGATGCACCATCTCGTTTTCAAGGGGTCCCGACAATAGCAACAACTTACATAAACAAAAAGACAAAATGCAAAACATGACACACAAGACAAACCACATACAGTCTGTTAAGTGAAATTCAAGCAATGCATACAATCATTACAATTTGAGACAGTCGAGCGAATCAGTTTCATCAATATCAGTTATAACAAGTGCAGAGCAGTTGTTATAACTGATATTGATGTGAGATAACAATGCATGTTTAAATAAACCCAATGATGCAAGAGATCTAATAGCAGCAGGTAAAGTATTCCAGTCAGTTGGGGCTTTGAACATGAACGCTCTTCTGCTGATCCATTTCTTTGCAGAGGGGACGGAGAAATAAATCTGAACAGAATGTCTAACTTGATGAATTGGTGAGCTTCACCTAAGACACAACAATGTACAAGTACAATCGTTTTTTCTGTCAGCCAGTGCAATAATTCTCATTTGATTTGCCATTTCTGCTAGTAGAACTTTTGACACTACTCCATCCATTCATTTTGCACCAAACCCATTTTGAATCCCTTGATTTCATTCTCCATGCGTGAAAGTCCAGTACAGATTCACACAATTAGATCGGTTCCCTGCTGAGAACCATGGCCTCATATTTTGAGGTGTTGATCCTCATCCCAGCCGATCCAATGAGTTCTGAAACTCGCAAACCGATGCCAAAAGAACCACATCACCTGCATAACGCATCAATGCACGAGGATGTAGCCAGAAGCCGATGTGGCTAGAGAGTGCACTGTTTTGTACACACATTTTTTGATCTACATTACTGTTTAATTTCATTTGTATTTGTCCCGCTCATGGTACGCAAAACTCACTGTACAATAATTGCCAACAAAACGTGTCTCTATTAAAACACCATTGAGCGGAAAGGAGCAGGAAGAAGAAAACAACCTTTCTAAATAGACTTGCCCTTCATAATACATTTTCTTTTTTTTTCACAGCCAAACATCACAGTGTCTTAGGATACTAAGAAAAACACAAAAAATACTTATTTCCCACTTGACGGTTAAATAAATAAAACAACAACAAAAAACATCAACACCAAAACATCACATGTAGGAAAGGGAAAAGTGCAACACCCTCATCTAAGTCCTACTGGAGAAGAAGGTGGAAAGCGGCGCATAATAATGATAACAATAACTATAACAATGGGACCTGCAAATGTAGTGTTTTGCTCCCACAATATGAGACCATGTTTTTATTTGACTGCGTCTCTGCGTGTCAGAGAAATAAGAAAAGGTAATAAGAGTCAGTTTAGAAGAAAATTAAACATCAAAACTATTTTTTTCTATATAATTCCACACAAATGATGGTTTAATCACACTACCCTGTTTATAGCCTATCGGTGCAGCTATTGCTAAGAGAAGCACTATGAGTATAACTAATAAGCGTCCTCGCTCTGGCCTCGGGCTGCCTCGCTGGCCGGCCCAGGCCGTGGCGCATTTCCATTACAGTTTAGGACCTGGGGTAGCAGCGCAGTGTAGGCGGGGCGATCGGCTTTGTTTGTGTTCACATTTCGAGTTGTTCCGTCGAGCTCCCGCTGGATTTGATCATCCCCAATGAGATGTAGGAACGTCGTCACCTCCTCGGTCGACCACGGTGTGCTTTTCTTATTAGACGTAGCCATTTTTGTAGCTCATCCGTTTACAAAATGCTGTTTATAAAAATGCTGCAAGCTTGCTTCTAAATATATACGCGACACTAGGGATGATCTCGCGCGCGATCTTGTGACGATTCTCTCTGACCAATCAGCAGTCGAGAGTGTTGACGTCACTAGTTCAGCCCTGGCCCTGGTCTGAGGGAACCACGATTTTATGGGGCCGGAAAAAGTACCCGCTAGCCGGTGCTACGCTATATGGAAAGGCCACCAAAAACTGGCCTGGCCGCTTGAGGACGGTTAAGGACGCTTAAACGGGGCTACCCGCTGCAGTGGAAATGCGCCATAAGTGTTGTGAAAGTAGGACATGTTAAGATACTGTAGCTCTGGATCGGATTGGATTGAAAGTATTGGTGTAAGAAAATGAAAGTCAATCAAAAATGGCGCAGACAAACAAATGATTCTATTCATATTTATTTGAAAACAACAATCCACTTTTCCACTTCTACTGCGATTCCTCCTTGCCACTGGGGTCATACATGATATATGTATTAATTCCACAGAACACCATCACAAACGTTACCCTTTTATACGCACGTTTACCTTTTTTTTGTCTTTTCTTTTTTTTGTATTGTCGTCATTCCTATACAATGACTTGTGCTTTTTGATATCTTTGAAAGAGAGAAAGAGATTTTTTTTAAAGACATCATTGTCGTCTTGATAAGTGTACATAACAGGAGGGAGGATCCAAATAGAAAAGAGTCGTAAGAAGAGGATATACTGGTCGATACACACCGATACAGAGTACAGATACACACTCACATTGCAGCCTGCCCGACTCCACCCAAAACTGTCCGAAGAGAAAAGAGTTGTCACTGAAATCACCCCTCTTCTCCTGATTTTAGGATTTTCAAGAACGCTTGTCGTTGCCTTGCAACAAATACACTCCCTGCTGGTGAGCAGAATTTCGGCTAAATATTGCTTAGCTACAAAGAGGAGGAGGGTCAAAGGAAAGCAGTGCAGAAAGCCTAAATGTCACAAAGTATTATTATGATTATTTTTCAGACAGTTCTGGGGCTCAGAGCACTCCTAAACATTTCCATTTCAATCAAAGTTTGCTGCAAACAACAACAAAAAGATCCTAGTGCGGAGTTCATAGCGGAGATCCTAAGAAATATAAGGTGCATTCGTCAGAGAGCTTGGTGTATGTGTCCCCAGAAATAACGCAATTAAATAAGGGGTTGATTGCCATTGCAACAATGTGCATCAATGCCAGAAAAATGTAAAGGGACTGAATATTTACATGGACTGGAATGTTTCCCCGTTCAGATATCCGACGAATAAAACTGTCTTCATTCAAGAAATATTTTTAGAAAGTGGAGCTTCCTGTTATAACGTGACATCGATATTTGGGGAAAAAGGGGTTAAAAAAACAAACGGATAATTGAGCAGAAACACCACGGTGCAAGAAGGCATGTTCATTCACTTAATGCTGAGTCTGTGCATCGTAAAAATCTCAAGATATAATTCCACGAAAAGTGAGTAAAAAACGAGAACAAATCACAACCAGGGACCGGCAGCGGAGAAAATGTACAAGCAAACTACCGTAAGGTGAATCTCATCGTAAATGTTAAGTGCAGATAGATAGATAGATATATAGATAGATAGAACGGTAGATAGATCGATAGATAGATAGAACGGTAGATAGATCGATAGATAGATAGAACGGTAGATAGAACGATAGATAGAATGATAGATAGAACGATAGATAGAATGATAGATAGATAGATAGAACGGTAGATAGAACGATAGATAGAATGATAGATAGAACGATAGATAGATCGATGGATAGATAGAACGATAGATAGAACGATAGATAGATAGAACGATAGATAGATAGATAGAACGATAGATAGAACGATAGATAGATAGATAGAACGATAGATAGAACAATAGATAGATAGATAGAACGATAGATAGAACGATAGATAGAACGATAGATAGATAGATAGAACGATAGATAGAACGATAGATAGATAGATAGATGATAGATTCTAAATACCGTATTTATTCATATGCTGGGTAAATATCTGGTAAATCTTACTTCTATGTGTATATACCTCCAAACTAGACCTCCTCACTTAGACATATATAAATAGGTCTAACATATAAAGCCATATTACAGTGTACATATCCTCGCCCTAATGTAAGCCATAGCAAAACCCCATGCTTTACATAGAAAAAGGCATCCACGACATTTAAGAAAAAATGTACAATTTATGAAACATGGTTACAGTAATAATAAATAGTATTATAGAATAGAAACACAAAAAAAGCCATTTTTTAAAATTTCACTCATATAAAAATATGTTTTAGTGCAACCGTACGTAATAGTAATATCCATAACTTCACATCGCTTGTCGAGACTTTAAGGTGTCCAAAACACAGGAGGTGGGGCGGTAAAAGGGGGGAGGGGGGGGGGATTGCATTTATTACAAAGCTGATAGTATTGTATTTACATTTACCTTCCTGCTTTGTTTGCTTATAAGAAAATAAGCAAAAAAACAACGATAAAGATGAAAGAAAAGGCACACACGTAGCTGTCTTGATTCTTTCTTTTTTTTTAACGTACCGCTTAGCCAGAGTCCTTTTCCTTTATTATAGCAGATTGAATTGGTGGAGTACATGTGTAACCGTATCAGATCCTCTTTAAATAAGAAACGTTTCTGAGGCATGAAGTACATTAACGATAAAAGTCTTTTTTTGACAAGAGCTGTTTTTCTTTGTATCCATATGTGTGTGTGTGAGAGAGTGTGTGTGCATGTATAAAGTGATGTAGGAGAAAATGTGTAAAGTGTGCAAAAGTCATTTTTCTCTCTCTGTTGCACTTCATCCCTTCCTATTATCCAAAACAAACAAAAACTAAAATCCATGTTCTCTCCTCCTCCTCCCTACGATACGTCTTTGCTTCTCTTTGTGCTTTCCGCCTCCTTTTCCCTCTCCAGCCTCAGAGGTTTGGACCCTGTTGGAGGATGGAGGGTTTCTGGAGGAAAGGAGGAAGAGGAAGAGGAGGAGGAGCTAAAGTGCTGTTTCCCGGGACCTTGAGGAGGAGATGATGAAGGGTGAGGAGATGGTGGCGACCTGGAGACGGATGGCTGTTCAGACAAAGAAGAACAGGATAATGAAGGAGCTCTGCCGCCATGTTTCCCTCCTCCACCTCCCCTGAGTTCCTGCGAGTCGATGCAGAGGGAAGCGATGGCCTTGGTGCAGGTTTGGATGTATTCCTCCTGCTCTAACCTCACTCCTCCTCCTCCTACGATGACTCCCCTTTCTTCCAGGGAGGTGAAATGAGAGGCCTCACTGGTTGTTGAGTCCTCCGAGCTGTTTTCTGCAGCTTTCTCTGGCTCAGAGCGGAGGTGACGGAGGTCGGGACGGAGTGAACCATCTGGATCCCTCCGATGGGGATCATTGGGAACGGAGAACGCACCTGAAATCAGAAAAATAGGTTGAGTAATGAAAACTAATCCAAAAAACCCAACAGTGAAATGTGTAAAAATAACAAGTATTGATTGTGTAATAAAGGAGAAGATCAAACGAACATTTATGAAAGCAATTAAAACAAATGATCTTCTAAATATTACAATAAAACATTTTAGAAAGTACCATAAAATAATGTTTCATAATAAAAAATAAAAGATGAATGCAGGCACTCAGACACAACATATACACGGGAGAAATGACTAAAACAAAAATAAAGAATTGAGATACCTGGAGTTGGGAGTGGAGAGGAAGGTGACTAAACAGGACTTGGTGAGGCGGGCTGGACTGGTTACCGCGGTTACTGCACTGGTCCCGTTCCCCTGGCGACAAGGATTCCAGACAATGTTCCTGGAAAGAGGAGAGGAAACATGAAAAACATGGACGCCTCTTTTTTGCTGCCTCTCTGCTCATCTTCTAGACATTTGAATACGAAGCGAAGGCAAACAGAAACACATCAGTTCAAATAAACACTAAATAGAAAACTAAATATTTTGTTAGAAATAATAATAATAATAGAGGGTTTTCTTTGACAAAAAGCCAATAGGATTTCTCCATTGGATTTTGGATTATTGCAGAAAATAATCTCTGTGGCAAACAAACGTTTATGATACTTACACGTTTTATTCAGCAAGATAATCTCCACATACTAACACCACTTTATGATTTCTGAACGTTAGGCTATAAAGGAACTACAGCAAGGTCACATGACTTCAAGTCACCTCCGCTAAGCTAAAGGAGGATAATGTTTGGCTCTGTTCTTGGTCCCCTCCTCGCATGGTTTTTCATACCACTGCTACGCTGATGACACCCAATTAATTCTGTCCTTCCCCCGCTCAGAGACCCAGGTCGTCGCACGCATCTCTGCTTGTCTAGCTGACATCTCTCAGTGGATGTCTGCTCACCACCTCAAGCTCAACCTTGACAAGACTGAGCTGCTCTTCCTCCCGGGAAAAGATTGTCCCACTCTTGACCTAAAAATCAACATCGGCACCTCAGTTGTTTCCCCGACTCAGACTGCAAGGAATCTGGGTGTGACCCTAGATAACAACCTGTCCTTCACTGCAAACATCGCTGCTACAACCCATTGCTGCAGATACACGCTTTACAACATCAGGAAGATACGTCCCCAGCTGACTCAGAAAGCGACTCAGGTTCTGGTCCAGGCTCTCGTCATCTCACGCCTAGACTACTGCAACTCCCTCCTGGCTGGTCTACCTGCATGTGCCATCCGACCTCTGCAGCTCATCCAGAATGCAGCGGCTCGTCTGGTCTTCAACCTTCCTAAATGTTCCCACACCACGCCGCTCCTCCGCTCCCTTCACTGGCTTCCGGTAACTGCTAGAATCCACTTCAAGACACTGGTACTTGCGTACCGTGCTGCGAATGGATCTGGCCCTTCCTACATCCAGGACATGGTTAAACCGTACACCCCAGCGCGTGCACTACGCTCTGCATCAACCAAACGGCTCGCTGCACCCCTCACTGCGAGGGGGACCCAAGTTCCCATCAGCAAAAACACGTGGGTTTGCTGTCCTGGCTCCAAGATGGTGGAATGAGCTCCCCATTGACATCAGGACAGCAGATAGCTTGCACATCTTCTGGCGCAAACTGAAAACTCATCTCTTTCGACTCCACTTCGAGCGTTAGAACTATTAACAAAGCACTTATATACTAATAAAGGACTGGCTTACCTAAAGCCAGTTGAGTAGCACTTGAAATGTTTGGCTCTATGAAGCCTGATGTACTTTATGATTCTGTTTTCTTCAAGTTTGTATTTTGTTGGTCGAACGCACTTATTGTAAGTCGCTTTGGATAAAAGCGTCAGCTAAATGCAATGTAATGTAATAAAGGAACTACAGCACGGTCACATGACTTCACGTCACCACCGCTAAGCTAAAGGTGGCTAATGTTGGGCTATAAAGGAACTACAGCACGGTCACATGACTTCATGTCACCACCGCTAAGCTAAAGGTGGCTAATGTTGGGCTATAAAGGAACTACAGCGCGGTCACATTACTTCATGTCACAACTCCTAAGCTAAAGGCGGCTATTGTAGGGCTCCTTATTTCAGGCTAACAACCAAAAACACATTTAAAAAAACATTGACTTCTAGGAAGTGCTAAAAGGCTAACTCATTTCCAGGGAGTTAGGACGTATTCCTGCACCACTCTGTAAGCCGGCATGGAAACAGAAATGTGTGGTTGTTCAGGACGGTTGGTAAGAAAAAGAAACACAAAGCATGATGGTTGTTAAAACATTAATCTATCATTTGGAGAACGCTGGGTTATCAAAGCAGAGCCTCTGCTTCACGCTTTGTTTCAGAGCGAGCAGCAGCAGAAGCCAGAGCTGAAGTAGGGCTCTTAAGAAGAAAAACAGCCGCGTTATTAACCACACCAACGCCAGCCAAGATCCCATTACCACCAAAACCCAGCAGCCCTATCTTCAATCATCCCTCTCTCCAACACTCTCTTTATTCCCTCACCCCCTCAAAATGCTTCTGTCTGCCAGATGCTTTTCCCCTCTGCTCCTTCTTCATTCCCCTCTTTCTGTGCAGAAGAGTGTCAGAAAGTCTGCTCAATCCCAGTTGACATTCAAGACTCAAAGGCTTTCTTTTAATATGCACAATTGCTGCAGTGTAGTTGTTGCATTGCACATATTAGGGCTTAAGCCAGGCTTCTCCAACAATGCAACTATACTCTTTCTTTCTTTCAGTCTTTATTTCGAACAGATTAAAAAATAACAAATAACAAATGTGAAAAACAGAATACCGTATTGTTATAATACAGTTTTTATCCACATTCATGGTAATATCTGTATATTCAACAAAAAAACAAAAAATGTCTTCATATTAATAATAATAATAAATCATATGTGTCCGAAAGGGAGCAGGAGGAAGCAAATGCTTATTCATTCCCACCCCTTACTTGATCAATGATTGTCCTTTAAATCATTATGCAAGTTATTCCTACATACATTTACATTTATACAATAATCTCTCATCTTCAATCACCTTTCTTCATTCTCATATTTTTGCAAAAAAGTGTTTCTGTACATCCTTTTAAACTGAATTATGCTTGTGCTTTGTTTGAACTCCTGCTCCAAACCATTCCATAAAGTCACCCCACAGGTTGTTAAACTCATACTTCTCAGAGTTGTTCTGACCTGGAGTTTAAAATGTAGATTTCCTCTCAGATGATACCCTCCCTCTCTGTCTACGAACAATGTTTTTAATGTCCTAGGAAGTAGATTATGTCTGGCTCTGTGCATGATTTGTGCCGTTTTAAATTTAACCAGATCAATGAACTTCAATATGTGTGACTTCAAAAATAATACATTAGTGTGTTCAAGATATCCAACATTATTGATAACTCTTATAGCCTTTTTTTGTAATGTGCATAACGGCTGTATTGGTTTTGTACGTGTTTCCCCAAATCTCCACACAGTCAATCAGATATGGCAATATGAGTGTGTTATATAGAGTATGCAATGAGTTCCAGAATGTATCTGGCTTTTCCCAATATTGCGATAGTTTTAGCCAAAGAAACTCAAGACAAAGAAATATATAAAACAATGAAATGGTGCAAGTAACACACTGAGGTAAATGGAATAGGATCAAAGTAAGTAAAAGTAAATTCTGTACAGTAGAATAAATAATGTATAATATAATAATAATAATGTGAATATGTGGAATAAACAGATAACAGACTAAATGTGTTGCTAAAAATGGAAAGTTCATGCCCGCTAAAGACATATAAATACAAATAAAACTCTCCTGCCAGGCTTATTAAAACAGTAAAAGACAAATGGTAACAAGTGAGTTTAGAGAAACTTGGTTAACTGCTGCATATATTCAAGCCGAACTCCATGATATAAAGATGAACTGGGTAATTAATTTAAAAAAAGATACATGTATGTAATGCTGCCCCTTTGTATTAAGTGACATAGCCCTTGTGTAGCTTTAAAGAATCTACAGTAAATACTAAAAACATGCATGAAATAAAGAAAAAGTCGACTCGATTGTCTAATTTGTTATTTCTTACCGTCTCCATTTCGGTTCCGGTTCTGCGACATCCCAGAATGCCGAGCTCCGCCTGGTGACCCTGCCTCAGGCCCCGAGATCCACTCAGCTGGCTGGAAGTCACACAACAACAAGACATATCACGTTAACCCTTCAAGTCTTCAATCAAATCTTTAAGTTCAATTCAATTCAAATGTATTTCTGTAGCCCAGTATCACAAAACACATTTGTCTCAGATCACAAATCAACAAACATGAATTATATAGTAAAATGATAAATGTGAAAATACCATTGAATGGGTACAAAACATAATGACACAAATACAGTTAGAGTACAATAATTACAATTCTATAAAATGAAAGGTCCATGAGGATTTAAAAGGGAGTTTAAGTAACGTAAATAAAATCTACAAAAAAAGATGGAGTGGGTTGGGAAGTAGCGTCGGGTCATGGGAGTTTGTCATAGCAGTGATCTTAAACCATTAACAATTATTTCATTATTCATTACTCAGTAACATATTCATCCACATAAGTCTCCTCCTCTCAAACAAAAACAGTAAACAGGTTTCAGTGCCAATTTCACGGTTCACTTTTTCCCATTAATATCCAATTTTAGGGTTAGGGTTGAATTTACCAGGGAAATGTAATGATTCTCATATAACTCCCGAACGGTGAGTACTACAATCATGAAATTTGGCATCTGTGATGGTCTCCTTCCTCCCCTCACGTGTACCAAGTTTGGCGCCTCTAGCTTTTCCCCTTGGTGTAGCTGTCATTGACACCCATTATAGCAAAACAGGTATAATCCTGATATAACTCAGTTATAGATAAGTGGTACATTCACCAAATTGGTTCTGTGTGATTGACTTATTCGATTGTTCAAGTGCACCAAATGTGGCGTTTCTAGCTGCTACCTTTCATATGGCTGTCATGGACTCTCCATTGTGTTTTAGGGTTAGGGTTAGGGTTGGGATTAGTAACTCTTTAAATGAGGTTGTACCGTGGTTATCATGGACTCTTCAAAGGTTATTAATATTGTGAATTGAATGATGGATATATATTTAAAAAAGCAGAATTCAAAAAGCTTTTAAAACTTTGCTCATGGACTCTCCATTGCGTGTTAGGGTAAGGATTAGTTACTCTTAAAATGAGGTTGTACTGGGATAATCATGGACTTTTCAAAGGGCATCAATATTGTGAATTTAATGATAAACATATTTAATGTTAAAACTTACACTGAACAAAAATATAAACGCAACACTTTTGTTTTTGCTCCCATTTCTCATGAGGTGAACTCAAAGATCTAAAACATTTTCTATAAACACAAAATAACCATTTCTCTCAAATATTGTTCACAAATCTGAAAGAATCTGTGATAGTGAGCACTTCTCCTTTGCCGAGATAATCCATCCCACCTCACAGGTTGTGGCATATCAAGATGCTGATTAGACAGCATGATTATTGCCACAGGTGGCCTTAGGCTGGCCAACAATAAAAGGCCACTTGAAACGTGCAGTTTGTGCTTTATTGGGGGGGTCTGGGGGGGTCCGGAAAAACCAGTCAGTGTCTGTGATGTGGAGGGGGTAGGGGTAGGGGTATGGGTAGGGTAATGTTGTGAATCGAGTGGCCTGTGTAGTCGTCGTCCCCAATAAACATAGACCCTGCCCATACCATAAACCCCACCACCACCATGGGCCACTCGATTCACCAACATTACCCTACCCCTACCCCTACCCCTCACACCAGATACTGACTGAGTTTTCGGACCCCCCCAGACCCCCCCAATAATAGCAAAACTGCACGTTCCGAGTGGCCTTTTATTGTGGCAGCCTAAGGCACACCTGTGCAATAATCATGCTGTCTAATCAGCATCTTGATATGCCCACAACCTGTGAGGTGGGATGGATTATCTCGGCAAAGGAGAAGAAGTGCTCACTATCACAGATTCTTTCAGATTTGTGAACAATATTTGAGAGAAGAAATGGTTATTTGTGTTTATAGAAAATGTTTTAGATCTTTGAGTTCATCTCATGAAAAATGGGAGCAAAAACAAAAGTGTTGCGTTTATATTTTTGTTCAGTATAGCTGAACAGACATTATTAAACCTCCCTCACTTTAATTTTGTATTTTATTATATATGTTGGATTGTTGGAGGAGCTCAGGTCAGAAGATTTCCATTGCCATTTCTACCCTGTAGCTTTGTGCATATGACAATAAAACCTCTGAATTGAATTTGAATTGAATTGGACTTACCTCGGGTGGTGGAGGTGTTGGTGCAGCCCTCGACGGGGGGACACCGCCCGGATCATCGCTCTGTGACGTCCTCGGGGTGAAAGGTCTCGCTTGTAGTCTCTTCCTGCTGGAGACGTAGGCCGTGAGAGAGGGGAGAGCAGCGAGAGGTGACCCCTCCTGGGGGAGAGGTCTCGTCTGTAACCCCCTGCAAGGTCTCTCTTTGGGGAGATATGACGCATTGGGGAGAGGTCTCGACGGGGTGAAAGATGTCCGGCACAAGGTGAAAGATCGCGGCGTGGGGAGAGATATCGACGGGACGATGGGGACGAAGAAGGGGAGATCGGGGATGGACATCGGGAGATTTCTAACCCGGGGGAGGACAGGCGAGAGGAAGGGTCTGGAGAGGGGAGGTCTTCATCCATGGAGGGGGGAGAAAGGAGTTGATTCCTCTGAAACTCCGCCTGGCTGTGGATGATCGGTGGAGCCTGAGGAGTGATCTGGATGCTCGGCACGGTGGTGAAATACCCGAAAAGCGGCGGTTTGTTGGCGCTCCCCATGAGGTCCGAGGGGTGAGGGAGGGGAGAGAGGTGAGAGAGGTGAGGGTGGGAGGAGGCCATGGCGGTGATGGACATGGAGGGCAGGCTGAACGGCTGAGGGCTGGTGGAGCGAGAGCGGGTTTTTGGCGTAAAGTCGCCATCATAGTCGTCCTCGTCTTCGTCGTCATCGTCCACGTCGTCGCCGTCGTCATCCGAGTCGTCGGCGTCGGAGAACTGGTGATCCAGCGAGACTTGAGACGTCTTCTCACACCGCTGGCCTTCCTCCCCGACATCTACGAGAGGAAGAGGAGGGACAAAGATAAGGAGGGTGCAAAGTCAACTTTATTGTCATTCTTTCAGTTTGTGTGTACAGACAGAGATCGAAATACCGTCTCCCACAATCCCGAATACAAAAATACAAATATATATAAAAATATGTATTCAATACGTATATACCTATATATATACACAATCAAAGACACATTTATATATATTCAATACAATTGTAAAAGGAAAAATAAACAGAAGGTAAGGTTAAGAAGACGAGGAAGAGGAGAAATAGTTGGACAGGAGCGAGCGGAAAGGTGACGGAGCGAGAGGAAAGGTGACGGAGCGAGAGGAAAGGTGACGGAGCGAGAGGAAAGGTGACGCAGCGAGTGGAAAGGTGACGCAGTGAGTGGAAAGAAAAATAACATTTAAGGTAAACATAGCGTAATAAGTTAAAGTGGAGGAAGTGGGACAAAGGAAGAAGAGTAAACACAAAATAGGAAAATTATACAAAAGTACAAAATATTGGAGGGAAACAGTGAAAGGGAATGTAGAGAGAAATGGGAAAGGAAGGAACTAAGGACAATTAGTTAGTAAAGGAATCAAGAAAGAAAGAAAGGAAAGAAGTCTAGGAAGTGTACATCAAACAAAAGAAGATGATGAAGATAAACTGAGAGAAACAGTTCCTATTAATATGTTGAAACAGAAACAGTTTCAGTTCAAAACTGAACCCCGTTCCCACCGGCTCAAACCAATAAAGTATAAAACACAATAAAACAAAGTTATTTGAGAAAAAACCCACAACGCTTTGGTTGTTCTGCTGAATGGACTCCAGCCAAACGTGGGCAAGGTCTTGCTTTACTGTACAGTAGCTGTAACGTTACTGTTGGCAGGAAACCAAACATCACTCTGGGTCAAACGCGTCAAATGAAGCTGGAGACTCACAGAAAGGGGAACGTGAGTGAAAAGTTGCCGAGGAACCATGTTAATGAGCTCTTGAGATGAGAAACCATTATATTTATTTTTTCCATCACTTTATTTGCTTCTTCTGGAAGTCCTCCAGCGTAAAGAAGCCGTTTTTGAGTTGGGATCAGTTCGTCTCTCATATTCAACAGTTGTTTTGTGTAAACAAACCACAAATGTTTAGGTCTCAACAGAAGGACACACACACACACACACACACACACACACACACACACACCACACACACACACACACACACACACACACACACACACACACACACACACACACACACACACACACACACACACACACACACACACACACACACACACACACACACACACACAGATGGACTTTAAACACATTTTAAATTATGAATTTAGTTTGAGTTATGAGATAAAAAGTCTGTACTAAAATCGTCAAATACAACGTTTAAAATATTGCACTTAAAAGATGCACTTAAATGGTGTGTGTGTGTGTGTGTGTGAGAGAGTGTGTGTGTCTGTGTGAGACAGAGAGAGAGAGAGAGAGTGAGTGTGTGTGTGTGTGTGTGTGTGTGTGTGTGTGTGTGTGTCTGTGTGTGAGAGAGAGAGTGTGTGTGTGTGTGTCTGTGTGTGAGAGAGAGAGTGTGTGTGTGGTGTGTGTCTGTGTCTGTGTGTGAGAGAGAGAGAGAGAGTGTGTGTGTGTGTGAGAGAGAGAGTGTATGTGTCTGTGTGTGAGAGTGTGTGTGTGTGTGTGTGTGTGTGTCAGGACCGTCACTGCAGGAAAATTAAATTGTGGCTATGGAATTGTTCATGGGAATATATTGTTGTAATCCAATAAGAAACTCTGAATTTCCAACAAATTATGGAAGGATGTTTTCTGTCAGTTTAGTGTTGTGTCGAGTGAGTGCTCTGCTTTCATTACAATAATTGTCCCAATACAACCGCACCAAGCCAAAGACACTCAGAGTGAGTCCGTGTGTGTGTGGTGTGTGTGTGTGTGTGTGTGTGTGTGTGTGTGTGTGTGTGTGTGTGTGTGTGTGTGTGTGTGATTGTGTGTTTCCTACCTCCTTCGTCCGCCTCGTTGTCCTCCACAGAAGACATGGAGACTCCCAACTCCAGACACTTTTTCATATGAGCCTTAGACTTCATGTGCTTCGTCAGGTTTCCTACAAAACACACACACACACACACACACACACACACACACACACACACACACACACACACACACACATCACACACACACACACACACACACACACACACACACACACACACACCATTTAATGACCCTTCGACTAGTCTTACTGGAAACCAGAGCTTGCTTGGCTGTGACAAAGTAAAAGAGGGTGAAATGGAAATAGAAGTGATGGAACAAAGGGCGAGACCACAAAATTACAATTTGCAAATGATATATAATTTGTACAAAATGTGATTTAATGACACAAATACTAAACTAGTCTGATCTCTTGGTTGAATGCGAAACCAGAAATATTTCGTATGTGAAGAGAGGAAATGAAAATCTATCAGATAATGGCTTCTTTATTGAATGTTACATGTCAACGAGTCCGCATCTTACAGGAGGTTCCTGTCTGACCACATTTAACCACTTAGTTTTATGTTTTAGGATTTAATTCTTCAGCAAAAGCTCTTATATTGAGTTTGAAATCATCTACTTGATGTTTTTCTACTCTTTCAAGGAGCAACATTTACGGAAAGTATGAAACCATGAAAAAAAGGAAACCTAATTTTGACTAATGGCACAGAAAATCCATCTATCTAATATCTTATAATGATTGCAGTCAGAAAATACACTCACTTCTACCTCACATTTAGATTAATTAAAAAGCAGTTTAACTTTTCTGTCTATTTCGACCCATTTGCTAATGTTTTATGTCGGAATAAGGGGTTATTTTTTCCTGACAAAAATAACATAAATGGTTCCATACAAAAATTCTTCACAAAAAAAAACTATGGTCACTACTTTCATTGGTTTTATTCAAATTCATAGCATCTGTGTTCAATGGCTGAATTTTGACCTGCGATAAAATCCTTAAAAGAAGTGAAAATACTGGGTAATAAATTGTAGTTAGGTAGGCTTAACAGATGTAATACACATTTGGGTTATAATTGTTATAATAATTGTGTAATCAGTTGGAATTAAAATCGTAAAAAGGTGGAATACAGATTTATAAACAGGTCAAACA